TCGGGTTGGGGGCCGGGGCAGAGGGCTGGCGGACGGGGTAGGGGGCGGGTTAGGGGGCAGGCGGGGGCTCACCACGGTGAGGTTGTTGTTCATGGGCTGGAAGACGCAGCAGAGCAGCTCGGCGCCGTCGGGGTCGGGGATCTGGCGGATGCACTTGCCCTCGCCGGCGGCCCAGATGCGCATGGTGGCGTCCAGCGAGGTGGAGACCAGCACGTCGTTGGACAGGGACCAGGCGAAGTCGGAGACGCCGCGACTGTGGCCCCGCAGCACCCGCAGCACGGCGGGCGGGGCGGGCGCCAGCTGGCACACCGAGATGGTGCCGTCCAGCGAGCAGCAAGCCAGCAGATGCTTGTCGTCATTGGCGAACTGCACCTTGGGCACTGGGGGGCAAGGGGCGTGAGGGGGGGCGGGGGGCCATCGCCCCCTCCCACAGGGCCCTGCCCCCCTTTTAATTTAACCCCTGCCCCCCCAGGGAGCATGCCCCCCCTTCTGGTGTCTCCACCCCCTCTGCCCCACACAGGCTGTCCTCTAGGCCACGCTCTCCACACCACAGCTGCCCCCAAATCGGGCACCCAACGTCCCCCACTTCCAGTCCCCTCCCACTCCATGGGCTGGTCCCCCGTCTCGTGCCGGGGGGACTCCTGCCCTGAAGGGGATTTGGGTAGCAGCCCCCCCCACCCCCCTCACCGGCCTCGTCGACGTGCTGGTCGAAGACGTGGTACATGCCGGCGAAGGCATAGTTCTCGCTCAGCGTCGTGTCCCCGGCCATGGCCCGGCTGGCCTCCGCCACCGACGTGGGCACTACGCTGCCGGGGGATCTGGGGAGGGTCAGAACCGGCCACTGAGAACCCAGGAGTCCTGGCTCCCGGCCCCCCCCTTCCAACCCCATGCTCTAACCGCTACACCAGGGGTGGGCAAACTATAGCTCGGGGGACACATCCTGCCCTCCAGATGTTTTAATCCGGCCCTCGAGCTCTCTCCGGGGAGTGGGGTCCGGGGCTCGCCCTGCTCGGGCGCCCCGG